GAAGTACATCGACTTAATTTCTGACATCTAGAGGACTCCAAGATACCTTTTGTTGACAACTCCTTTTTTATTTTAATTTTTATTACTACATTTTTGCAGCACATAATGATTACATTCGTTAGGAAGAATTAGTACATGAACATAACACATTTTAATTCTTTTTACATCCCTTTCTTTCCCCTCCCTCCCATCTCTCTGCATCTCTTAGTCCTCTTCCCTTTTGCAAAAGATTTATTTTCACTCTGTTGTAATCAAAGAACAATCTTGTGATTTAACTTTTGAGAATGTATTCACACTTGTTTAGTGTTCTGGCATATGGTCTACCTTGTAAATGGGCCACATGTCCTGGAAAAGAAAATATACTGTGCCATGACTGGGCAGAATGTGTTTATAAATGTCAGTTAAATCAATTTTACCAAGATGTTTCCATCTTCTATACCCTTAGCTTTTTTCTGCCCTTCCTATTCCATTAGTTACTGCAGTGTTGAAACACTAACCGTTTTTATGGATTTGTCTGTTTCTCCTTTCAATGCTGTCAGCTTGGGATTCATGTACTTTGAAGTTTTGTATTTTGACATACACTTTAGAATTATTATGTCTTCTGGATGAAAACTTGGTCTTGACCTTTCCATCACTGTAATATGGCTCACTGTAATATTCTTTGTCTTGACATCCATCTGCTGATGCTACTATGGCCTCTCTGATTTCATAATCATCACACAGTTTGAGATCTTTGGTATTTTTAAATTACCTGTTTATTTTTTTATTTAAGAAGGTCCTTATTTACTTTTTCGTAGACCAGATACTTACATTGACTTTCTTTTAGTAAGCATGTAGTTGAGCCTTGCTGTTATTTACTGTTTGACAATCTGTGTTTTAATTGAACTGTTGGCTTATGTTTAATTCAGCTATAAATATGGAAGTAACATTTACCATCTGCCATTAGTCCTCTGTTTGTCCCAGCTGTTCTTTATTCTTTTTCATCTTTCTCTTGGATTGCTTATATTTACTATTCCACCTTATCTCAACTCTTGGCTCATTACTTTTTTGGCATTTTAAGGTGTATCCTTTTCTTTTTCTTATGGTTAACAAATGCTTCTTTATCACAGTGTAACTTCAAAAATATTACAATATATTAAAATATAAGAACATTACAACAATATACTGTCATTTATGACTTCCATCCTTGTACTGTTGCTGTCATTCATATCATTTCCACAATATATTGTACACACGATATATTATTTTTGCATTTAGTTATATTCTTAGAAAGTTAAAAATGAGAAAACATTTTTTAACACTTATCCAGATATTAACCACTTCTAGCATACTTCATTTTTGTACATTAATTGTCCAACTATGTTTATTTAACTTCCATTTTTCAAGAATTGTCTTTAACTTTTCTTGGTGTGCAGGCCTGCTGGTGATTTTTCTGCTTTTCTTTGAAACTTTTCATGTTGCCTTCATTTTGAACGATAATCTTAAAGTATGAAATGTAAATTTAACATATTTTTAATTTCTTTGTAAGCAAAATAATTTCCCATGGTTTCCTGATTGAATAGTTTTTCCATAAATCTGCTTTAACTCATATCTTTGTGCATGTAACATATATTATTTTCTTTTACAATACTTTGCCATTTCTCCTTGTTTTCAGCAATTTACTTGTGATATTCTATAGTGAGGTTTTGATTTTTATCCTGAATGGATTTTGTTGAGTTCTTCAAAACTGTGCTTATAATTTTCATCAATTTGAAAAATGTGGGCCATTGTTTCTTTAACTATATTTTGTGTTCTCACAATTCATCTCTCCTGAGACTCCAGTGATTGTATTTTTACCATTTAGTATTGTCACAAAATTCACGGATGAAAATCTTTTAAAACTCCATGGTAGCAAAATGTGAACTCTGCTTACGTGAGCTGGCTTCATCTTTATCACTCCTACTGGGAATAAGCAAAGGTTTCACTCAGAAATAATGAGTTTAATTGCTAGGCACTGCCCAGACCCTGCTGAGGCACTTTATAATAGATGGCACATGCAAGGTGTGAATTCAAAACACATTTTGCACTGTTTCAGTAAGAGATTGTGTTGTTGATGTTCTTAAATCTGCTATTTTCCCTGAAAAAAAGCAATCATTTTAGTATACAGAGTGAGTCAGAAAAATTTTAAAAATGAGCCTACTTGCAGTGTAGTTGTGTTGAGACACAGGATCGATATTAAATAAATGCGAAAAATGCAAGTGGACCTTCCAATGCATAATCTAAAGCCTACAACATAACAACACGCTGGTCACAGAAAGGAGAAGCATTTGGTCATTAGTTTGAATTCTCTCCACTGTATCACTTGTTTCCTTAATGATTTATGGTCAGCATCTGGATCCTGTCCTCCTTCGTCTCCGTGATACTGAGACCTGTCTTCATCAGACAGCTTGATGCCTGGAGGGCTCTTGTCTGCCCCTGTGGTGCTGTCTGTCTGTCTGTCTGTCTAGGGGATAGTTTGTCTGACTGCCTGGGCCTTTGTATGTTCAGAGGTCTGTCTCTCTGTCGCAGGGGTTGCCCGCCTGGCTTCCTAAGGGTCCAACTGGCTGACTGGGACGCTGCTGTGTGCCTTAACACATTTCCAGCACTCAATACTTGTGTTGTTGAAGTATAATTTTAGTATCTATAGTATGTATAACTTAGTGTGACATATTTATATAGGTTGTAATGTATATGAATTATCATGATAGTCCTGAGACCTAATGATATTTAATAATGTAACATTTTCATGGTCTACTGTGTACCAGGTGCTATTTTAGGTGTAAAATTGGGTCACTTAATCTCCCAGGGACATCCAAGCAAGGTAGGCACCACTATTAACATCCCTACCACACTGATGAAGAAAGGCAGGCTCAGAGAAACTCGTCTTTCCCTAGCCAGGCTACAGTGACCTGTTTGATAGGCCCTGTTAACACTGGGCACTGAGATACCCTGTTTGTCTGGACTTAGAGGGGATGCTCTTCACCAACCTAAGTTCACAGACCCAAGAGTTACATACAGAGTATTATTTTATTATGTATTTATATGCATTTATATATTTATATATTATATTTATATTTTATTATGTATCTATATTTATATACATTTTAATTATATAAATTAGTAAATGCTTAAAGTTTATAATTACTCAAAATTCATTATGTATTAATTTTTACTTTATAAAGAATACTAACAGTATATTGGCTATATACATTTCTTATAAAATCATTTTATTTACTGTTTGCATTTACATATTTTTCTATATTATATGCATTTTCTTATGTTAGTTTATGCTTAACATGTTTATTATATATTGCTTTTCTAAACTTATTAGGTAAATATATTGTATTATACATAAATTTATATATTGCTTCTATGTTATATATATATTACTTATCTGTTACCTATTGTATATAATAAGGTATATAGTGTCACATCAGTAATTGGTATTCATTGCCTTAATTATAATTAAAACAATTATACCTAGTACCAAAGGCTTCCACTTAGCAATCGCTCTAAGTAGGCTAAGTACCTTTACTCGCTTCAGTTCAAGCAATCCTCACACCCCAGGCATGTAACTTCGGGTCAGTGCTTCACAGTGGGGAAGCCATGGCCCGGGGCACTTGAGATGCTATAGCGTCCAGGAAGCCTCCGACACAACCCCAGACTTATCATCACAGGGAGTGACCGCTCATCCGGTCACCCAGCCCAGGAGCTAGTCTGGCCGGCCCAACATCAGGTGTTGCCTGCAGCCCTTCCACCGCTGCCCCAGCCGCGCCCTACCCAGAATTTAGCCCCCCGGTGATGGAGCTGGGGCTCCACAAGGATAGGCCCTCTGGGGCTTCACCTGGTGGGGCTGGGTGTGGGGTGTCACTCAACTGTCCAGGGAGAGGCCAGAGACCAAGAACGGGCGATTTGTAGAGCAAAACAGATGGAGAGTCACAGACCCAAAGAGCCACGCAAAGGCAGAGCCTGAGAGACTCAGGGGTGGAGGGTGAGACGCGGAGACCAGGATAGGCGCGTTGGCACCGCGCTCGCCCTCGTTCTCAAACTGTCAGTTTGGAGCGCCTTCTGCTGGTTGCACGAGTCCCTCGCAGCCCTCGCTCTCCACGCTTCCCGAGATGGGAGGATGCGACCCAGCCCCTGCGTTCCTCCTCTGTATTTCGAAGCCACTGAAGACTGTCCAGGGGACCGGTCCTTGCCGGGGGCCGTCGAGCACGTTCCCTGTCCTGCCAGCCAATAGTGTCGCGTAGAGGGCGGCGAGGCTCTGTCGTCAGCCAACGAGGACGTAGAAACCCCTCAAAGCCACGCCCACAAACGTACCCCTCCCCGAGAGGCCTGGAAGCCTAATCTGCATGGCTCCGCCCACAGACCGAGGGTAACTAAGTGGCTCCTCTTGATGAACACTGTTCATGCTGCTTTCGCCAACTCCATTCTCAGGTGCCACAAAGATGTCCCAGGTTCAAGCTTCCGTTTCTCGAGGGCCGCCGAGCCCTTTGGCTGATCAAGTAGACCCACGAATAATTCCCACTTCCAAGAGACCCGCCTCTTACTTTAGGATCCGAGTCCCATAGGCTGACCAGACTGCGCGCGGCACTCCGATTGGACTCGGCCACTGCCCGTCAACCATCCGCTCCACCCCACCAAACCTTACTCCATCCTTGCCTTTCTTAGCGGATAAAGAATGAAGTTGCCTCAGTTGTGGGGGAGCACGTTTATTGGACTGGCGCGAGTATTCATTACGGGCTAAGCTGTAAAAGTCCTCCAGTGAGGAGAGGAAGAGGCTCGAGCCTTCGCTGGGTCCGGGGAGACTTCAGCCAAGGGTTGAGCGGGTGCGAACACCAGCCAGTGCCAGTACTTGTCCTGGTACGACTTGGACTGGGCGGGAGAAAAAAGGGAGACTCCTCCGGATTGGGCTAGAGGAAGAAAAGCCCGCCCCCTCTGCGCCAGGATTGGCTGAGCGCGAGCCGTGCCCCCTCACGCCGGCAGCCGTCAGTAGGAGACGTGGGCCGCTCTCGCCCGACTTCTGCGCTCTAGCCGGTTCCGTAGGAGCGGACAGAACCGGTTCACTGGGTTCCCAATTTGAAACGAAGTAGATCCGGGAGAGGCGTGCTCCATCTTAACGGTGACGGAACACCGGTAGGCGGCGGGAGTGGGGCGCCGCGGGGAGCGACTGAAGCTGCATAACCGGAAGTGTCTTGGATGCGTCGTTTCCGGAAGTGTGGCCGCACCGCGGCGGCACCCGGAAATAGGATGCTGCCTCGCCCCGGGAGTCGGACCCTTTGAGATACAGGGGTTAAACCGGTGTTTATGTATCTTTGCTTTTTCGAGCCAATAGAGAGCCTCTGTCTGCGGAAAGTGTTTGGACATGATTTTGAATGTCTCTTCCCCTGGAAAGCCGTGGGAGAAACGAGCACGGGGAATGTGTCCAGGGGGCCTGGCTCTGTAAAGGCTTCTGAGAAGTTTCTTTTGCTGCCTGTCACCCTCCATTCCCCTACCCCCAGGGATGTGCAGATGGAGGCCGGCGGAGACGCTGCTGCCCCAGCCCCCGGGGGCGCGCAGGACTTGGAGGGCACCCAGTTCCCTAGTGAGGAGACTGAGGATAGTGGCGTTCCATCGGGCCCGCCAGATCCTGGAGACGCGGACCCGGAGGAAACAGGTATACGCTGCCCTCACTAGGGTCTTGCAAGGAATCCTGGCATGCCGGAGGTCATGTTGGGTAAGGGAGAGACAGGATCAATGGAAGATCAGTGAAGAGTCTTTGAGGACTCAGGAAAGTATCTTGAACCATCTTGAACCAGTAGGCGGTAATAGTAGACTCACTGGTATAGTTTAAATCATTGAGAAATGAAAAGGAAGTCAGTAGTTTATCAGCTGATGTTCACCCAGTGCAGTTTTGTGGTCCTGGGTAGTTACATCTTTTTTTGAGGCATCAAAGGTATGGAGAGGGACCATGCCTGTTTGTCCAGGAATATATTCATTTTAGCACTGGAAGACCTTTATCCTCAGAAACCTTTCAGTTCTGGGCAAACCAGAATGTATTTGGTGACTGACCATTAGTGACTGACGAATCAAAAAGTCCATCCAGTTGGTGTCAGAGAGGGTTATTGAGGGTTTTGGGTATTGAGATTAATGAACATGAATAGGGTCAAAGAAGGAACTATTTAGAAGTTAGTGTTTCGGGGGAGTGGGGTATAAAATCATTGAGATGGGAAAGGAGATCAGTGGGGACCAGTAAGCACGCAGTGCCTACATCATTGACTCAATAGAGGGCTGCTGAGGGGGAGGCCGTTAAGGAACCAAATGTTAGTGTATGTTAATGGTGACCAGTGGGGGAAGAGGGTCTGTGAGATTTGGAGAACCAGGTGCTCGGTGTATTGGGGGAGAGGTAACACCAGATAGCGGATGTGTAAAGGTGTTACTGAGGAATCAGTGGAAGTCATTGGAAAACACTGCTTATTAGTCATTTTAGAGTTAGTGGATGTTAATAGGGTCACTGGGGAATGTCAGCCAGCATCACTGAGAATAAATGGGTGGGATCTTTCAGCCTTGGGAATTCCTGGAAGTCATTAGGAGGGGGTAGTTGGTATTTGGAGATGTGGGGTGTCAGTGAATGCCATTGAGAGCAAATGAGGTCCCTGAAATTTTATGGGAAAATTAGAGGCATAGCAGCAAATGGATAACGATTGTCTTTGGCTGAAACAGTAGACCTTGGTAGGAATAATTGGGTGTGTCAGGGAGGCAGTAGGTGTCACTAAAGTGGTGGGTTTTAGTGAGTGTTAATAAGGGTTATGGGGAACAGCGGAGGAAGTCATGAAAAGTCCTGTGTTAAGGGAGGTTAATGGTGGCCATCAGTGGAGTGGAAAAGAGTGGATGTGGAAACTAGGGTGTAAAGTCATTGTGATGGGAAAGGGGATCAGTGAGGGTTGGTGGGCACTCAATATTTATATTATTGTAGGGTCATTCTTAGAGTAAACTAATTTGTGGGTCAGGGCAGCCATTGAGAGTCCTTAAAGACACACATTAGTGATTTAGTGATGTTATTGTGGGGTCGTTGGGTGCAGAGTTAGTGTCTTAGTGGAAGTAAATAGAGGAAGTGGATAGGGGGTTAGGAGAGTCCTGAACAGCTGGGTGTTCATGGCTTTCTTTTCCCCAATATGAGACACTGAATCCAGAACCTTCACCCTTCTCGCTGCACTACATCCCCAGCCCCCTCCCTCCACTTTGTGTATTTTGTATTTTTTATTTTGAGACAAGGTCTCACTAAGTTGCCGGCCCTAGACTCGAACTTGTAAGCCTCCTGCCTCCACGAACCTGCTTGTTAGTGGATATTAATGGCAGTCCTTGAGAGAATTGATGAATTAAAGAACATCATTCAAAATATCAGTAGTTGACCAGGAGAGTCAGTAGGAGTCATTAGAGATCAGTAGGCATCCATGAGAATAAAAGGTTGGGGAGTCAGAGGGTGGGGAGATCAGATATCAGTGGATGTTAATGGTGCTCATGAAGGGGAGAGTGGATATTAGCAGAATAAATAATGGGTCACTGAAGATATTAATGGTTATTCAGAGGCAATGGGATGCTTTGAAGACTTAGAAATGGCTGATGTTGAAAGGAAAACTGACAAATAGGGATGCAGAGGATGCAGTCAGTGACAGTAAAATCGAACTGGATTCTTTGGGTTTTAGGAGGATCATGGGAACTTAGTAGATACCATTTGTGAGGTCCCAATCATTGGTCACTGGGAGTCACTGGTTACTGCAGCAGGGCGATACTCAGGTCTGTCAGCATGCAAGGGTTGTTGGGAGGCTGGTAAGGATTTGGTGGGTCCTTGGGAACTCCAAGTAGTTAGTGGGGGTCTATAGGCAGCTGACCCACCAGGGGCTCCCTTCTAGGATCCAAGGCCGAGGATGAGCCACCCAGCCACCTGTCACCACTGCCCCCGTCGGAGGACCCGTTATGCACCTGTGAACCCTGGAGCTCTGCAGCCTCGGATAGTAGTCCCATCCATGGCCCTGAGAGTGGCTCCGGGGGCCAGGGTGGGGACCCCAGTGAGGAGGACTGGCGCAGTCAACGGAAGCACGTATTCGTGCTGAGCGAGGCTGGCAAGCCCATCTACTCCCGGTACGGTAGTGTGGAGGCGCTGTCGGCTACCATGGGTGTGATGACAGCCCTCGTGTCCTTCGTGCAGAGTGCAGGGGACACCATCCGCGCCATCTATGCCGGTGAGCAGAGGGGTGGGAAACGGGACGGGACGGGGACTGTGCCGGGGGCCCGCTGGGGTCCGAGTGAGTGGGGTCTGAGTAACTAGCTGGATGCTCCCTTGGCGTCTGAGAGCGTGGCTGTGGAGGCCTGCGCTGAGCTGGGTGTCCTGGCTGGGTGTCAGTCCTTGCTCCCTCTCACTGTCCCCGCCATCATCCATGGTGAATCTCCAGTGTCCACACTCACCCAGTTTGGCCTTGGCCTTGTCCCGGTGCCAGAGGTGCAGTGGTTTGGGCCACGTGTGGTGTGTGTGTCAGGTCACTCCTGATCCGTCTCTACCCTGCCCTCCTCCAGAGGACCACAAGCTGGTGTTCCTACAGCAGGGCCCCCTGCTGCTGGTGGCTGTGTCTCGGACTCCTCAATCAGCAGCCCAGCTCCGAGAGGAGCTACTAGCCGTGCACGCGCAGATTGTGAGCACACTGACACGCGCAAGCGTGGCCCGCATCTTCGCACACAAGCAGAACTACGACCTCCGCCGCCTGCTGGCTGGCTCCGAGCGCACGCTGGACCGGCTTCTGGACAGCGTGGAGCGAGATCCCGGAGCCCTGCTCCTGGGCGCCGTGCGCTGCGTGCCACTTGCCCGTCCCCTGCGGGAGGCACTGGGCACATTGCTGCGGCGCTGCACGGCACCCGGCTTGGCCCTGTCCGTGCTGGCAGTGGGCGGCCGACTGATAACAGCAGCCCAGGAGCGGAACGTGCTGGCCGAGTGCCGGCTGGACCCAGCTGACCTGCAGCTGCTGCTCGACTGGGTGGGAGCGCCAGCCTTCGCAGCGGGTGAGGCATGGGCACCCGTGTGCCTGCCCCGCTTCAACCCTGATGGTTTCTTCTACGCCTACGTGGCCCGCCTGGACTCTATGCCTGTCTGCCTGCTGCTGCTTGGCACCCACCGCGAAGCCTTTCACGCCATGGCCGCCTGCCGCCGCCTGGTAGAAGACGGGATGCGCACTCTCGGTGCCCTGCGTGCCCTGGGGGAGGCAGCCAACTCCAGTGCACAGGCAGCCAGTACCCCTGCCTACAGCGTGCAGGCTGTGGGGGCACCTGGCCTCCGGCACTTCCTCTATAAGCCACTGGACATCCCTGACCATCACCGCCAGCTGCCCCAGTTCACCAGGTGGGCCCAGACCCTGTGGGCAGTTACCCCAGTAGGAAGGCTTTTGTAACCAGGAAGGTCAGCATCTTGGGGCTGTGACTTAGAAGAGATACCCAGCCATGTTCTCAAAAGAACAAATAGAATGGATCTCTGATGACAAAGGCTCAACCACCGACCTGAGAAGTCACTATTTTAGTGGAGGGAAGGGCCATGCTTAGGAATTCCCATAGTTTGATGGGGGAAAGCTTGGTTGTAGTCACTACACAGCCTCAGGTTTAATAGGAAAGGCTCAGTTCTGACACTTAATTAAAATCCCTAGACAGAGAGATGGGCCCGCTGAGTAGGCCCTTGACTAACCCTGACCTCCACCTTCCTTCTTCATGGCAGCCCCGAGCTAGAGGCACCGTACAGCAGAGAGGAGGAGCGGCAGCGGCTGTCAGACCTGTACCACCGCCTGCATGCTCGCCTGCACAGCACCTCCAGACCCCTGCGTCTCATCTACCACGTGGCTGAGAAGGAAACGCTGCTAGCCTGGGTGAGTCAAATAGGGCTGGGAGTGAATGAGTTCCCCCCTCAAGCCTCCTTTCCCTAAATGTAGCCCCTCCAATCGCAGCAGCTTTTATCAAGCACACCAAGCCCTTGCCTGGGCCTTGCCTGGGCCGTGCCTGGCTACTCTGTCCAGTTGCCTGCAGCTCTATCCCTACCATTACATATGCATCTTTGAACCCCATAAGGATTCATTGCTGACATGACACCTGTCCTGCTTGCTTTTCCTCCATTAGCATCCAGTGTGGTGTCTTTAACTTTCAAGAGACATCATTAACAGCCATCACTGCCTGCCAATTCCCTGTTTCCCACCAGTGCAGTTTTGATTCCATGAGTCTCCAGTTCTCCGTGAATGCTACAGGCCTGGTCCCTCGTGTGCCCTCTCTGGGGGTGTCCTTCCCTGGGTCCCGGACTCACTTCCTGTGGGTCTATTAAGGTCAGCTATAGAAAGAGGCTGATCAAGATGACCTCATCAGCAATGGCACCTCTCCCGGGCTCTGTGACAAATTTACTAAATAATTTATTGCATATCGGTTCTATGTCAGGACTTGCTCCAGGCTGAGGATTTTTTTACATCATTTTAAATTTTAATTTTAAAGTAATTTTAGACCTAAAACTTGCAAAAACAGTACACAGACTTCCCTTAAAGAATCCCTTCACCTAGTTTCTCCAAAAGTTAACATCTTACAAAACCACATTAACTTACCAAAATCAGGAAGTTATAAACTGGTTCAGTAACATTTAGCTCATAACCTTCATTCGGGTTTTACCAGTTATCCCACATATGTCCCTTGACTAGTCCAGAAACCAGTCCTAGATCACATGATAAATTGATATATTGTTTTTCTGCTCTTATTCTGGAATAGTTCACCAGTTTCTGTTGTTTTGTTGGGGGGGGGTTGTTGGGTTGGTTTTTTTTTTTTGTCTCATGGCTTTGGCACTTTTGAAGAAAGTGGATTAGCTTGTAGAATGCCCCTTGTTTTTGTCTTTTTGATGTTCTATCATGATTAAATTGCCGTCACGCGTTTGGGGCAAGAATCTCACAGAAGTGACGTGAGCCTTTCTCTGCCCGTATCAAGGCACATGATGTTAGTCTGTCCCATTGTTGACGGTGTCAACCTTGCTCACTTAAAGTACCTGTAGTTATGACATCAATCAGTGTCCTGTTCATCATCCTGCTTTCACCCACTGATTTTAATATCCATTGATTTTAACTTAGAGTAGTTACTAGTCTGGTGTTTGCCCGATGGTATGTTTTCTGTCTCCATCTCCATCTCCATTCTTCCTGCATTTATTGTTTAAGACTCTAGCATAAGGAAGATCTCTTCCTTCCTCTTACTTGTTGAAGTTTTAATTTTATGCAAGTAATGGTATTGTAGGATTTTCTTTAGTTCAGTGGGCTAAAGTGTTTTTCTAGTGTTTATTTTGGTTCTGCAGTTGTCTCCGATGGAGCCAGCAGGAGCCTTTTAGCCAGGCTGGTCACTGTGTACCTGCCATGTCCCGTCATTTTGTAAATGCTACTTACTTGACTTTCTCCATGTTGTGCTGTATTCAGCCATTTTTCCAAGGAGTCTTTGTGCTTTTTTGTGGAGACTGGCGTTTAATAACCAAAATGCAGTTGGCCCAGGATTGGGAACCAAGTGGTCAGTGGAGGCCTTCCTGAGATAGCCTCTAAATGGAGAGAGGTAGTGAGCCCTGTGGGTGTCTGGAAGAAGAAGAGTACACCTCGCAGGAGAAAAGGACTCTGCAGATGTAGGGAGGTGGAGCCAAGCCAGGCTGTGCTTAAGGAACAGCAAGGAAAGGACAGAGGGAGCCAAAGAGAGAGCAATGGAAAGTAGGACAGAAAATGACTTGTGAACAGGGTGGAGTCACGTCCCTCAGGTTGGAGCAAGGATTAAATTGAGTTCTTTTTTATATTATGCCCACACTATGAATGCTGAAAGTAGTCGTGTGGAACTCAGAACAGGGCCTTTTATACAATACAGCGGTGCCTCAGTTCATGAACTTCAATTCTTGCCACAATTCTGGTCGCAAACTCAATTGGATGAGAACCGAATCAAATTCAGTGGTTACGTTCATTGTTGACCTTATGGAGAAATTTGACTCGGTTCTCATCCAATTGAGTTTCCATCTAGAATCATGGAAAGAATTAAGTTTGTGAACTGAGACACCACTGTGATCACTTACTGAACATTAAGTATTAGTGTTATTATTATTATCGCCAGTCCTCAGATAAACTGAGCGCCCAAGAGAAGCCACAGCCTATCTCACCAGTTAAAGCCAGTGGGTTCAGCCATCCTCTAGGCCCAATGGAGAACCCTTGGCCCATCAGTGACCCAAAAATATCGTCTTGCCTAGTGTTGAAGCAGCACCAGGTGGGCACTGCGGCCAGGTACATCTTCCAAGCTGTAGGAGGCAAACTTAGGGTTGGGTTGGGGTGGACAGGATGGTCCGTGGTCAGCTCTGTCCTGACTCTGTCTTTTCCTTAACACCTAGGTGACCTCCAAATTCGAGCTCTATACCTGCCTCAGCCCTCTGGTGACCAAAGCAGGAGCCATCTTGGTAGTGACCAAACTCCTGCGCTGGGTGAAGAAAGAGGAGGACCGACTCTTCATCCGTTGCCCACCCAAGTACTCTACACCCCCAGCCACCTCTGCAGACCAGGCTCCCCACAATGGCTTGTTCACTGGCCTCTAAATGGTAGAGCTCAGACTGCTGGGAGTGACCACCTTGACTTTTGCCTTCTGTCTCCACCCTGGAAATGTGGTGGGAATCTGTCTGTGGCTGGCACCTGTCTCCCTGAGCACCTAGGCAAGAAACGAGAGCTGCCCACAAATGGGAGGTGGGTGGTAGCAGCCAGGGACGCAATGTGCCCCTCTAGTCCCCTTGTGTCCTTCTCTTCTCCCTCTGTCTCACCTCCTTACCATGGATGATGGTCCTTCATCGGGCTTTACCCTCTAAACTGCTTCAGAAGTCTCTTTCTCACTGGACTGAGCCCTGTATGTGCAGGGCTGGCAGGTCTCAGGAGTGACCCACAGCTGCTCTAGAATTGGGGATGCAGGGTCAGCCCGTGCCCATAACCACCCTAGGGTATTTGGCAAACAAAAAATCCTGTACATAAAAGCTCTAAAACTAAGCCCCACAAAAATATTCCTTTGCCCTTTATCTGAGCGCTGCCCAAAAAAAATGAGCCCTGTTCATGTTGGCTGTTTCTAGTATTAATGAGGAGGTGGCTTCAGTATCCACCTGTGTAACACAAGATACACAGTACCTAAGGTCTCACACAGTGGCTAAGAAAGGAGGTGTAATTAGCTTCTAAAGCTTATCTTACTTATCCAGGAAACAAAGGTAACTCGCGCATGGGCTCTCTAATGAAGATTTGCAAACGGAAAGGGATTCAAATTCATGTACAACTACACATCATATGCACATTTGTCTCAGACTCTGGCAACCTGCAACAAAATGTGTGCACAACCTCACACCCAACTGCCCAGTACCCCAGTACTGCCCTTGTTTGTCTAAAACCAGTTATAGCCTCGTGGTTGTACGCATGCGTGCTGCCCATTAGGGTGGGGAGCGTGCGCGAACGTTCTGCGCGTGCTCAGTAGATACCCAGTTCCCGTGCCTGGTGAGCTAATGCCGTGAAACTGTTCAGCACGCATGCGCATGGGTTTTTTTTTTGTTTTAACCCATCATCGGCGTCCACGGCAGAAGAGCAAGATTCGCCTTGGAAAATGGCGGGGAACCTGGAGCGTTTGACGGAGGAGCCATCAGAAGCCATGGAGAAGGGTGAAGGTAGTGAGGGCCAGTGGGCAGCCTCTTACCCTCTAGGGACAGAAGGGAGGGAGGATTCGACCACTGCAATAACTAAATGATGATAGTAGTAGCTTTTTGAAAAAGAAGTAAAATTTTAAGCCTTTTATTATTGAAAGAAACTTTTAACTGTTCCACAAAGTGGAAATAAATAACATGCACATTCTCATCACCTAGGTTAACTTTTGTCAATTTTATTGACTATACTGTTCAACTACTTTTAAGTAAACAATAAATAGTTCATATGCATCTCTTCAAATGAAACAGACCAAGGTGTTTTTTAAAAAAAAAAAAAAATCCCCTTGCGGCTGGCAGACCTAAGAAAATTAGCTAATTTCCCAATATCTGTTTCACACCTGGCCTAGATCACACTACATGGATTCTTCATCGAGCATGGCTTTCCTTTCAGGCAACTGTTCTCAAATTTGACTTGTTTGATGATGACAGCTCCCTAGTGCACTGGGGCTGGGATGGTGATGGTGGTAATTCAACCTAGAAACTTGGAAATTGTAGACCCACTAAATGGGAGGGATCCCCCAAGGTAATATCCACTAGTATGCCTCTAGCAATTTGTATTTTTTAGAGATTTTCAACATACAGCCAAGTAGTGAAAATAGCATGAGGAATACTCATGTACCTGCCACTCGATTCAACAGATGCTTAAATTCCTGCCCTCCATTTATGTCTCCCTTGCCTGCACACTCTTTGAATCAGTATAATAATAAACACCTTAGATTACATCTTGTCAAACCCTGTGCAGACATCAAAATAATTATTCATCCATTACCTGTCCTAGGGTGTGAACTCCATGAGAACAAAGACTTTACTGCTGTCTCCCCAGCACCTAAAGCAATGCCTACTTGGCACACAGATGGTGGTCAGTAATTTCTGATGTGTGCATAATGAAATAACAAACAGTATTATCTAAGAGCCGCATGTTGAATGCCAACTTTAAAAAAAAAGGATAGAAATAAGACGGATACAAATTTATCCCATTAAGTATATAATATACCTGCCACTGTGATTTAAAAGAAAAATTATCACCACCTTTCAAATTCCTCAAAATTGAATTTATGATTATCTTCAGCCATGGAGAATATTGGAAAACATCGAATTAGCATTTCTAACCCATCACATTTGCTTTATAACAAAGAGATGACATCTAGCCCTGAGACTGTGGCAATGCTTACCTTCTCGGGCCTCACCAGAACTTACCAGTAAAGGCTTTGCTGGGGGCAATGTGGAAGAATATTTGTAGCATCTAAAATGCTTTCCATATCTGCAGGCACCATGCTGAGTAATTGTAGGGAAGTACATAGTTGCGTGGACTGGGAGTGGTAATTAGCGTGTTAATGAAGGCCACGTACAAGCAGTAATCATAGTACTGGCTAAATCTGTGTATGTCCATGCACACTGGAGTGCCTGTGGGGTGGAGTTTCTTTTTGAGAGGCAGATACAAGTGATTTTTATTTAAGATCATTAAGATCATTTAAGATCACACACCTATGATCCCAGCACTTAGGAGGTTGAGGCAGGAGGATCCCCATGAGTTCAAGGCCAGCCTGGGATACATAGTGAGTTCAAGGTCAGCCTGAACTACATAGCTAGAAACTGTCTCAAAAAAAAGAAAAAAAAAAAGGAGGGCTGGGGAATTTATCTTAGTGGTGCTGTCGCCTACGTCACAATTGCAAGGTCCTGAGTTCAACACCCAGTACCAAAAAAAAAAAAAAAAAGATTATTTATTGACACCGAAAGAGCTCCAAGAAAAAAAAAAAATCATGAGAGCCAGTTGAGACTAGAATTAAAAAGAGAGATTGTGAAGTATGCCTAGCCTTTTGTGTGTTAAACAAAAATATCTGGACATTAACAGCCTATTAGACAAGGGACTCAAATTTTAGAGGTGACACCCAGGTGGAGCCATTCGTGTGATGTATTTTTCTTTTGAAAATATTTAGATAGTATGTAATTTTTTTAAAATGTAGAAAGAATGCAAAAATTTTTTAGAAAAAAATTAGTACTATAATTTTAAAGTATAAGGGTGAAGGGGGAAATTTAGGATCTGAGGATCATGTATTAATATTAGATCAGTATTAATATTCAGAGTTTCGTGGTTATACTGCAGTTACTTTGCAGATTCCCTCTGTACATAAGAAATATACATTAGAATATTAAGGAGCAATGGAGGGGAATCTGATATAAGGTCAAGAGGAAGTGCTATGACCTATTTATACAACTTATGTGTACATTTGAAATTATTTCAGAATAAAATGTTTAAAGGGGGACTCTGGAGACTGTTTTCTATTGGAACATGGAAACTAAATTTTTTATCAAGATGTTAGATTATTTGAAAGATGTACTTATCTCTAGCTCTTGGCTTTATTGTAGACTAATTCTAGCAAAGAAGTAGAGGAAAAATACAGGTGGAGTTTTGCAGAAACCATTGCGAAAGCCAGCTGTAAAAGATGGGGGAAATTACATACATTCTAAGTGTTGGGTAACATTACATGCTGATTATTAATCTTATTGGGTAGGGTTGGGGTCATTGTAGAAAATCTCCTTAAGGAACTGAGACTCGATGAAGTAACTAGAAATGAAATGTCAAGAAGCCTGAGTCCTGCTTTAAGATGCTTCAACACAATAATAAAAATAACTGAAATAAATATGAATGAATATTAACAATTGTCAGATCTGAGTCATGAGCACTTTGGAGTTCAGCATGGTGTCCCTTCCTATGTCCTTTATATGCCTTTAAAAAATTTCATAAAATATTAAATCACCAACACCTTTCCATGTACTTACTAAAGTGCTTTTCATTGCACTTCCAAACACTAAAAATATCTTCATAATTGAAGTGTCTCAAGAGGAAACACCCTGACCTGTTATTGGTGATTATATCTGAGCAGCAAGATTGAGGACCAAGGAGAGAAGAGAAATTTTTATTTTTAAATTCACATATTTTGGTAGTATGTAAAATTCTTGAATGTGACTTAGGTAAGAAAGTAAGAATTAAAAGGCAGGTGATGATATGGCAAGATTTGAATGTTGTCAGCAAACTGGCAGTGGTTCTGGAAGGGGACTGACTTGGAGAAGGGGCTGTTGGTGACAGATTTCTATTTTCAGTTCCATCTTCTATATTTGTTTATAATTTAGGTCAGTAGAAAATTAAAATGCAAATTTTAACTAATGAATACTAATTTATGAAAGACTTTAGGCCAGGCAAAAAATGTAAAGAAGATGTCACTGGACATTTCAACAAAATTTAATAAGCTCGGGTTGAGAATAATGCACTATATACTTTAAGTGGCTGTAAAGAATTTCATCCTCCAAATGTGCTGTAAATAATCCCCTGAGATATCTTCAGGTTGCTTCCATATTTTAAGATTGCAAATCATGAAACAACGAGCAGCTCACCATCCATAACAACTCCTTTAAGGTGCTTTCCTGGGATTGGAATTTCTGATCCAGAAGACATGAGGATAATTTGGTATTTACTAACGGAAAGTTTGGAATCAGACAGTATTTTCTGCCTATCAGATTGGCAGAAAATGAAAAGGATTAAAGATATAACTTGGCTAATAAGATATGAGAATGTTCCTGTGTGGGCCTGAAAAGGGCAGAAGACAGTTTCATGATATCAACCAAGTTTGATAATAGACACACTGATGCAGCAGGTAGCCTAGGCGGCATCCCAGGTGAGTGTGGGTAGGTAGACTGACCTAAGCACAAAGAAGAATGTACAAGGATGGTGAACTAGGTAAAATCATGCTCCCAAATATCTGTCCACTAGGACCTCAAAGTAACCTTATTTGAAAATAAGGTCTTTGCAGATACAGGAACTTGAAATGATTCTGGGTTATGGTGGGCCATAATTCAGATTGGTGTCCTTCAATAAGGAGAAAGAAAGATGGACCTTCTCAAGAGAAAGGCGTGTGGTGACACACTCACAGAGGACTCCATCTGTGGTACTTTGGTATAGCAAAGGAGAAAATGAATACAGATGATCATAGTGGGATTGTTTGTGACAGCAAAAGGAGGGAAAGAACCTAAGTTTTCAAAAGTAGGAGACTGCTCTTGAGTAATGGTGTACCCCTGCAGGAAAACACCACGCGGCAGTACACACTGCAAATGAAGAGCTCAAGATGTGAGACATCATCTGTGGCATGGCACCATTTACATAGAAAATGGAACATACGCTTGTATATGAATTAGATAGCTTGTAACAGTGATCTCCGAGGAGGGAAGTGGGGGAGGGAGCTTCCAGTCTGAGGGTGACAGACTTTTCAGTGTACCCATGATGGATAAGCATTTCTGCAGCCACTCTGTAGCTGCTGTATGTTTGTTTACTTTTTATTAGTGCACGTTTGCAGTGCACGACTACATTTACCACTGGGAGTTGGTACACACACATAACACATCTTCACTCATCTTTCTGTCCGTACCCTTCCATCCCTCCCTGCTCTTTCAGCTTTTGAGGTGTCATTCCTCACTGCCTAATTTTCCTTGGAGAGGCACAGGCCACTGGAATTTGACTTGTTATCCTTGCTTTAAAGAATTTAAGATGTATTTAACATGCAAATATTTTCCTGTGTTTCTGTTGTTTGAATTTTAAAAATAGCAAAGGCTCATGTTAAAAATTATTGAAGTGTATAGGATAAAAAGTCCATCTGTTTGAATCAGGATCAGATAAGGAGTATTCATTCCCATTGATAGGGAAGGCGGGTTTTGTTTTTTTTTTAATCTGTTTTTTGTGTACCTTTTTCGAAAACCCTGCATAACAGGGTTATGTTCTTCTATCTGAAGCCTAGTAACATCCAGTTGTCATTTTTTTTTTAATGTTTGCAGCCAGGAATCACCCTTTCCTAGATCCACTAATCCATCAGAATTTGGACATCATGGGCAGTAATGATTTTAATGAAACCTGTCTACCCTACTGCATTTTGTGGGAATTTCATAATGATCTTGAACAGAGGCAGTAGCCAAAGTGTATCTGTTCCTCACCACGTTTTATCCAGGTGAGATCTGAGGTTTCTTTTGACTCCTCACTGAGCAGCTGACCCTTAGAGGTCCTGATTCACACACCCGGAACCTCGAGGAAAGAGGAGCTGGATCCTGCTCTGGCTGGAAATTTGGCCCTCAGCTCAGCTTCCGTTCCTGCCCAGGGCTGACTGCAGAGCCCACAGAGACTTCCCTTCTCCCTGCCCCAATGGCCCTAGGCCTTTCCTCACTCTTATCTGATCCTCTTAATTCTGGTTTTCATCTCCACACGTCAGGGCAGATTTTTGAAGAAACTGGAAGACTTGCTTCCTCAACGGCGAACTTGCAAGCGGCCACCTACACCAGGGAAGCAGCGTTTCCCCCGTTCCTCACTGGAGACCAAGGCCGGTCTGTGCTGACAGAGGTGGGAGGCGGCACCGCGTCGCCTTCAGCAGGGTCGGGTTGGTGGGAGGCCCGCCCTGGCCTCCACCGCGCACTTCTCTCTGTGGGCCTCTGCGGGGCCCTGAGGCTCAGAGTCGCCTCCTTTTCTGCTTCCCGAATCCTCTGCACCCGCACCGGACTCCTGCCACACCAGCCCTCCCCGCTTCCCGGACACGCGCCTCAGCTCCCTCTGCCTGTGCGGGTCCCACTCCTCCCTCCACCCCAGGCTGCCGGACCTGCTCCCCTGGCTTGGTTCGGAATCCTTCCTTATCTCAGGAAGCAAAGCTTCTCTCGCCTGTTAGCCTCCCACACCTCGCTTCACAGTATTTCCCTTCACAGCAGCTAGGGCCACTCAGCTGGCTTCTCGTCTCCCTGTTCCATACACATCGCCCCTACCAGCCCTGCGAAGGCCCCTGCTGGATCTGGACGCCCCGCGGGCGCGGGGTAAAGGCCAGGGATCCACAGCCGCAGAGCGCCCCCCAGTGCCCGGCCGGCCTGCCTGCCTGCCTGCCTGCCTTCCTCTTTACTTTCTTTCTCTCTCTCTATCTCTCTCTTCTTTCTTCAGAGGGAACTCTGGAGCCACAGATCGGGGACCTGATTCACCGGGTAAACGAGCTGCAGCAAGGTAAACTTGGGCCAGCTGGGGTCAGCTGGGGCCAGCAGGAAGGGCCTACACTTTGAATGCCTCTCCTTTATAAAATCCAGTCCCCCGGGAGGCTGTTTGAGGATGTGTGCGTTACAGTTTGTGGGAGAAGAGCGAAGTTGCGCTCACAGAGTGTCTTCTTTCCTTCCTTGGCTCAGCAAAGAAGAAATCTGGCCAGGAACTGGGAGATGCCCAGGCTCTCTGGGAGGCCCTGAATAGGGAACTAGACTCCTGTAAGTGGGGCTGGAAGACACACCCAGATCCCTTGATCCCTACTGATAGTTTTGCACCTGCCTCAGGGCCTTTGCACGGACTGTTTCCTTTCTGCAATGCTCTGAGCCCACATAATCTAGAGGACCACTTGCTACATTGTATCATCCTTCAGCTCTCAGTTCACACAGCCCTGGAAGGCCTGCCCTGAGGGTTCCATGTCTCTGTACTATCATTCTACTGCTTGATGTCACTTTCAGAGCCTTTATTCCTGCCTAACTTGATATTTCTGTTGTCTTTTCTTCCCTGAGTGTAAACTCATACATTCTTTTGGGTCCCTTACGGGGACAGTGGGCACAGAAGGGGAGAAGCTAAGTCAGGATGATCCCTCAAAGGGATGGTACGGGGTGGTGCCTCCTCTGGGCCCCCGAGAGTTTGCCTTTTGCAGGAAGTTGCAGTGAGAACGTGGATGTGACCCAAGGCTAAAGGTGTCATTGTGTTTTCCAGTGCATGGAGAGGAAGTGCACCTAGAGGTCTTGAGCAAAAAGCAAGGTATCCACCCACGGCTGGCTGTGTCTCCCTTATTCCACCCCTGCCCCTCCAGCGCCCGCTCTGCTCTGCAGAGAAGCCAGGGGAGGCCCTCTGGAACCGGCTGGGATGCTCCCTGCTGCTCCCTGTGGCCCCCTCGCTTCAGTGCACACGGAAGCCCCACAGGGCCGGAGCCCCTCTCTCCAGGCGCTCACACCCAGCAGGGCCAGTGGATTCCTCTCTCCACAGAGGCAGGCGCTGATGATCCTCCGGCAGCACAGCCAAGGCGCAGAGAGTGAGGCTGCGAGGTGAGAGTCCTGCCCAAGTCCGCACTCCTCCTCCAGGCTCCGGGGAGGAAGGAGAGCTAGTGCCCCGGATCTCAGACACACACTCATTTGCCTGTCCATAGAGCAGCATCCAGGCCAGACTCCCCCGTCGTGTTTTTAGGTGGTGGTGTTAAGATGAACTCAGCGGTGAGTCACTTGTAGATGACTTGTTTATGAAATAAATTCCACCCACTGGTGTTACTCTAAGTCTTTCCCTGTTGGCCGCCCAGCCTCTGCCATCCATTCGTTCGTTTCTGTGTGCTCACTTTAGGTACACACCCGCTCACCTCTCCGTTACCTCACCTGTCCGTGCATCCCCAACCAGGCCCCCAGTCAAGTCGCCACATCTCCAGCACCCGACCATGCACCCATCCTTTCTCCATCCTCCCTTTCATTTATGAATCTAGCCATTCATTTCTTCACCGCCCATCCCTCCACACAGCTGCCTGTCCGTCCAGTAACCCTCTCATGATCTCTCCATTTCTTCCATTATCCCCCAGCTCAGCATTTCTCTATCCAGGCATCATCTCCCTGGCGGCCGGAACTGAAGGCCCGAGCTGTGCCTGAGGCCCCCAGAGCTGGTGTGGCGCGGGTGGGCGTCCCTGTGGCCTGTGAGCTGTCATTCCTGCTGTCGGCACCCAGGTTGGACGAGGACGAGCAGCTGGAGGACCTGGTGGCCCAGCACAAGGACGTCTGGGAGTTCCATGTGAGCCGCTGCCATCGCCCTCAACCAAGTCCCTGCTCTCCTGGCTCTGTCTCCGCTGACCCCCAGCGCCCCGCCCGCAGTCTTTACTCCTGTTTTCCTCGCACCTTCCGTCTGCCCTCTCCCCGCTGCTGCCCCGCGTTGCTGGCCCATGTGGCAGTAGCAGGGCAGAGCCTGCTTCCTCCTGCCGGCCTGGAGAAGTCGTCTGGCAGCGGCTAGTGGAAACTCCGAGAGCCTCCGTTCCCCCGGGCAGGGCGAGGCGGCCCAGAACCCCAGGCCGGTCTTCTACCCCGAGCTGGCAGGGGAGGCTGCCAGACTCGCCAGGAAACAAGGCAGGGCGTGTCCTCTCGGGGAGGGCGGCGGCGCAGGTGACCGCCGAGGACAGGTGGGGGCGGGTGCAGGTGCTCCAGGCAGAAGTGAAGGTGCACGCCAGGGCCCCAGCCAAAGGGCTCGGCACCCGCGCGGAGCAGCCAGCAGGGGAGCGGAAGGTGGGAAGCGGAGCGTGCGCAGAAGCGAAGTTCGGAGGAGCGACTGGTTAAAGGGTCTCCAGCCACAGCAGAGCCGGCGCACCGAGCTGACAGTTGAGTGAATGAGTGACCTAAAGAAGGTAAGGATTGTCAGGCGGGCAGCAAGCCTCCTCTGTTCTCGCAGGTGCTGGAGCTGCGACTGACCCGCGAGATCCGCGCCCTGCAGCGCAGCCAGGAGCAGCTGCGGGCGGAGGGTGAGCAGCCGCGCGGGGCGGGGCGGCGCGGGGCGGCGCGGGGCGGGGCCTCCGATGCCGGCGCCCTGACTGCCCGACCGCCTGCAGGGACCCTGGTGCGCGCGCGGCTGCAGGAGGTGGAGCGGCGGCTGCGCCTGGCGGCCGAGGTTGGGGGCGACCCAGTGGTGACTGGTGGGTGAGGCTACCCGCTCCCCTGGCCCTGCTGCCGCCTCTTGGGGTGCCCGGCCTGGGTCTGCCTCGGTGGCTTCCCCTCCCCTCTCCTCCGCAGACTGAAGGCGGAGCTCCAGAGCTCGGAGGGACCCGGCCCGAGCGCCTCAGAGCTCGGGGTCCGCAGAGAGGTGGGAGTCGGGGGACGGAGGCGAGGGGCGAGGACAGACCCAGGGCAGAAGCGGAGGGGTCCGGGGGAGCGCCGCGGCCCGCAGCCACACTCCCGCTTCCCGCAGGCCCAGGACGCGGGGGGAGACCTGGAGCCGCAGGCTGAGGCGGCCCCGACCCTTGCAGAGATAAAGGCCGAGGTCTCAGACTGTCCTCGGGCTCGGCTGCGTGTGTGCCGCGACTCTCGGGGCGGGCGGGGCTCAGCTGAACCCGCCTAACCTGCGCGATGCTAGGCCCTTTGGCGGGGCGTCGCCCGCCTGCACTCGCCCTCCTGTGGGCTCCCAGCTGCCAAGCTGCCCGTCCACAGGCCTCAAGCACTCCGCGCCCAGTGACCCCTCAGGGCCTTTGCCCTGCTAGTCCTCCGCCGGGCGCCCACCGCCTGGGTCTCCTGGGGGCTTCTGCACTCACCGCTGGTCTGTTAAACATCTCAGAATTGAGCTACAAGGAAAGCAGCTATGAAAACCGAGAGGAGCCTGCGGAGGGGCAGTTCCTGGACAGGGTAGAGCAGAGAGAGCCAGCGGGACGCCCTGAGGTCCTGCAGCTGGAGGATAAGGCGTCCAGGCAGGCCTTGGCACCCGTCACCAGGACGCTGTCAAACGCAGTCCCAGCTCTGCCTGCCAGCTGTGCAGCATCGGGCAAATTGCTTCTCTGTGCCTCAGTTCCTTCATCTGTGAAATGAAGGTCATTGTGGGGATTAATTGACCACAGGTGGAAAGTTCTGCATACTTTCGGGCACACCGTAAGTACGGTCATTACGTAGAATTTTCATATGTCATCATCCCAGGAAATTGACACAGTAAACAGCGGATAGGTTTTGCTGCTGCTGGTGGTGGTGGTGATGGTGGTGTGTGTGTGTGTGTGTGGTGTTCGTCCGTCCCTGTCTCCGTCCTAACACGTTGAGAAACAAAAACCACGGAAGAACTAATGAGTTTCCAGAGTCCTTCCAGATGTGCCACCTTCTTCCCCATTGCATACAGGCCTCCTTCCCCACCCACACTGCCAGCTTGTTAGTGAATCTGGTAGTTTGTGTTACCCAAGCTTGAGTAACTTTATGAAGAAAAGAAGGTTTCTGGAAGTTCAAAGTTGAGGGGCCACATCCCACAATAACCTTGTGGTCAGAGTCCTGAAGTGACACAGGACATCACATGGCCAGAGACACAGCACATCTCTGTGTCCCGTCCCTTCTTATGAGGTCGCCAGGATTCAGTCGTGGAGACTTCATCCTTGTAATTTTAGTCCTAATCACTTCCCAAAGGCCCCACCCAGCTATCCTTGGATTAAGTTTCCATCTTCTCACTGCCTTGAGTGGGGATTAAACATCAACATGTGAAACCTTGGGAGTCACTCAGACCATGTCCAAACCACAGCATGAATTCAGGTCGAAATCCACTTGGCTGTTTTCCAAGTTCAGCAGTTCCACATGCATTTGTGAAGTATTGGCCATGCTCTTGGCACTTTGGTGGTCATTGAAAAAGTGACAGGAAATGTATGGGTCGCAGTCCTGCCATCACGGAGCTTGTAGACTCACTGGAGGGAGAAGAGACATTCTCAGTGAATGACAGCAGACAGAGCAGTATGCTAGTAGGAAGGACCAGGCCTAGAATCCAATGGTTCTTTCTTGTGACTTAGTCCTGCCTCCCTGTGTGACCTTGATGGAGAAATAAACTGAAAGAAAATATCACTCATAAAACATCTCCACAAAAAGTGAAACATAAAGCAGGCAGTTTTATTGTTGAATAAACATTAAACCAGAATGGAATGCTTATCACAGGCAAACTGTAAAGATTGCAAAGTCGGGAAGAAATAGCGCCCTCTCATGGTCAAACCGATGTGATGTCGTCCAGTCTCTATTAATAACCAGCCCTCAAGTAAGTGGGCCTGGCACCCATTGGTCAAACACACAGTTCCTCCTAAATCTGCGTGACCGTTTGCGTTAATTTGCCTTATCCAAAGCAAAGTCACGTGGCAGTTGGCAGTTTGGTGCAAGGCACCTGCTGGAGGTGGGACGCGTGCATGCGCGCGCACACACAGATCACACACTGGGATATAGTGTAATCTTCCTGGAGGTTGCATTTCAAAGAGGTGGCTCCTGGGTCATTGAGAAAGACAATCCTGTGTGGTGAAGGTGGCAAGAGTCGTATCAGGTTTTTAATAAGCTAATTGCTGTCATTTCCAATTGACAGAAGGTAGATGTCCTAAGAATAAGTCAGGTGGTTCCTCTTTTTCTGAACACCCTCACTCCACTGGAGTGCATCCTGTGTCTACCTCTAGTAAATCCTTCTCATGGCTCCTTAAAAAAAATGTCAGGAGTTGGGGTAGTTTATTTTCAACAGGGGAAATGAAGCCTTATACTTCTAATTTGTATGCGCTTTGCCCTTACAACCTTAGGTAAGTCACTACATGTTTCTATGCCTCTTTTTATTTTCTCCCATATGGGAAGAGGCAAGTGACATATCAGTGTTCACGATTTCTAGGCACCCATTTTTAGGCCCCAAGTAAATTGAAACCAGTGGTACCCTGTCACCTTTGGCCTAGTTAAAACTTTCCCTCCCTGCATGATTGCTTGCAATATAGCCCAGTTGTTCTTCATCCCACTGATCCAAAAACCCAGCGGCTGACTGTACGTTAATTAACCTGATAGTAAACACCACAGCCACATGTGTAAGTTCCCCCCTTTGCATGTGATTTCTTTTGCCAGTTCACAGCCCTCTGAGAAAGCCAAGGGAATAGGCCCCTGACCCTCCATCCAGGCATAGTATCACAAGCCCTCTTTCCTGTGTTCCCCACTTGCTGGTTGAGCTTCCTGCTGCCTCCTGAATGGACTTCTTGTCAGCACCCCAACTTCACTTAGTTTGGCCTCACCTCCTGTCTCCTGTGACAGACACACTGGAACCTCTTTTCCAGTCAGGCTTCTCCTAAAGAGTGGCTAACTCCTTGGTAGGAATAAACTGGACACAAGTCAGACAGCCAAAGGCTGGTTATGGGTCAGATACATAGATGTTAGGCCACACACATCAGGCATGCTGTAAACATCCATGACCTCCTGTCCTATTGGGTGGGGAGAATTAATAGCTACCCTACACGGAAACCCCAAGACCAAAGTAGAGAAACATCAGAGTGGAGTCATTTGCCTGCAGAAAGGGTCGCAACCATCCAAAACACAATTGTGTTCCTGACTGCAAGCATTGCAACACCTGTATATTTGCCACAAGCCACAGATCTTAGGGCAGCCTGTGCACCAGAATCAACCACAGCTCAATGAAAACAGTGTTGCTGTTATGACTTGTGTCTAGATTGAAGGACCCTAGTTAGCAAGACAGACTCCATATTGCTGCTGAACGACCCACCTGCCTGCTCTTTAGATGAACTTAGAAGGAGGAAGCTTAGAAACCTCCTCCCCTTAGAAAGTCTCTTTAGAAACAACAATTAATCAACTATTGTTTTACAGATGTTCTCCTGGCAGGACTTTCCGCTTCTGTACCTTTCGCTTGCTTTGCTAGTTCTATCCCATAGGGGGGCCTAGAAACTGCTGGCCTCAACGGTGTATAAAACATGTTTGTCTCCGCCCAGTTGGGGCTCGAGTCCAGTGCTCGGCTCAGGTCCCCGGTCGGTAATAAACTCCTGTGTGGATTTCATATCAGTCTCTGGTTGGTTCTTTCTCACTGGGTCTAACATAGATGTCCCCCCAAAGCCTCATGTGCTCATGGGTGGGGCTTTTCAAAGTTGGCTGAATCTCAGGTGTGGGGATATGGATTGAGAGTGTGTAGTAACTAAGTCAGTCCACTAATTGATTTAGCATGGTTCTGGTGTGGATAATAGAAGGCCCGCCCTGGCTGTGGGTGGTACCAACCAATAGGCTTGTGGCCTGAATAAGATAAAAGGCCAAGGGCAGCTCCCCCTGCTGCTTTGCTGCCTTCTTGCCTGCTCTGCTGTGGACTGTTGCTGCTGTTCTGCCTTGGAGCCAGCCAACTATGGGCTAAAACCTCTGCAAGTTGAGGTAAAGTAAACCTGTCCTCTTTTAACTTGTGAATGCCAGTATTTTGTCCCAGGCATGAGAAAGTAACTCAGGATGCTCAGAGTTGTCTTCAGAAAGCATGATTCAATCAGTCAAGGACAGGGCCCAGGTCTGAGGACATTTATTTTAAAATTTACTGGCCAGTGATGAGCACTTGGCATGCAACCACTTATCCAGAAATAATAAGTACAGTTCTGTTGGCTAAGTTTGGGCTCTCTGGGCTAGCAAGATCAGTCTCACCTGGGAAATTATCAGAAATGCAAATAGCTGGGTCCTACCTCAGCCCTACTGCTGGAGATGTTCTGTGGGTGGAGCCCAGAGATCTGAGTTTAACAGACCCAACAGGTGATTCTGATGTTTAGGCTTGAGCAGCCCTGAACTATCACAGAAGAGCATCTAGATGTTTCCACATTTTCACAGCTATTCTTGTGGGTGAATTAAAAATTAAAAGAGGCTTTGGAGACAGAATTTTCAGGTCCAAGTCTGGGGTCCTCACATTCAAAACTGCATCCCAGGACAAATTATTTTCCTGTCCAATCTCCAGTGATCTCAACTGTAAGTCAGAAATTAAGATAATCATGCCAGTAAAGTTGTTGGGCGAAATAAAGTATCTGTTTCCTTCCCTTCCTCACTGAGGGAATTCTGAAGTCTGATTTGTTAGGAATGATAACTTCTGTGCGTTCAGCCTGGACTCTACCTATGAATCCTAAACATATCTGTCAAAATGGAATTTTCTTATCAGTGGCTTAGATCAGTGTTTCTTGAGTGTCTCTTGCGACTATGCAGCCCAGGTGGCTAATTTAATACCAATGAATCACGCAGGGAGAGTGTTATGCCCCTTTCAAGATTTTTAACATACTGAAATAAAACCCTTACTTTAGTTTGAAATGCCTGAAACACATCTCTAAGCTTTGAATATCCCCCTTTAAATAAAGCCTTGGGCAAACAACTATATTTTTTTCTAGAAAGTATATTTGTCTTATATCCCTATTTATTTTGCATTTCTTTCTAAAGGTAATTGTAAGTTTTTGGAAAGGAATATTTAAAATAGATTAGTGCCCTCAACATAGTTGTGACCAAGGAGGGCATGCACCAAAGCCACCATTTCTCTGCACTCAAGGATCTTCAACAGAAACCACAGCCTTCAGCTGTTGGAGAGAGGAAGACTAATGTGTCTGAACTCCGAAGACAGGGCAGAACAAACAGTCACAGATAAATATGAATAATTTACATTGTGCTAAAAGACCAGTGTCAATGTGCAAAAATTTAGCAGATGTTTTTGTGAAAGGGATGCGGAGTGTTTAGATGATGTTGCATAAGAATGTTTATTACCGCTTTATATTAGTCAGCTTTTCACCACTGTGATCAAGTATGAAAAATAGCTTTGAGGAGGAGAGGTTTAATTTGGCTTATGGTTTCAGAGGTTTCAGTCCATGGTCCAACTCCATTGCCTGGAAGCCTGTGGTGAGGCAGAAGCATCATGGAAGAAGGGTGTGGCAAAGGAAAGGAAATCTGTTCCTGTCATGGCAACCAGGAAACAGAGAAAGGGGGATGAATCAGAGAGGAAGGGTTTGGGGCTAGTTATATCCTCAAGGTCGTGCTTATTTCTATCACTTTCTAGTAATGCCACCGAATTATAATCTCCATCATTCGATTAACCCATGATACATCCCTCCCAATCCAGTCATTTTGTATAAGATTCGCTCTGAACACATGAATTTTGGGGGGAACATTTTAGGTAGAAGCCAATGCACATTTTTTTAAACACTGATAGAATACTAGTGTTTAAAGGACAAAGACTGAGGTCCTCCTGGTGTAGTCTTGATCAGGGCATTTTCTGAAATTGGTAAATGTAGTTCGAGTTGACTGTTACCAAAGTGAAGCCCATCGAATGCGGAGAAGTGCTAGAATACTAAAGATTTTGAAATCTGTTGTCATGAGAGCTGAGGCCAAAGTATCGGAAAGTATTCTGAAGAAATGTAGCTGAGCCTGGGTCCTGAGGCCCACACTGTAGCCGACCCACCTGGCTGGCCTTGTGCTGGGACCTAGACTTGCCACTTTGTTCTCCCTGACCCCGGGGGCAAACAAGGATGAATGGTAGTGACATGGAGTCAGTTTAACATGCGGGCAGCCAGGGGTGTCTCAGTAGGCAGAGGAGCCCCCAGTGTCCGGCTCCTATGACTTTTATGTGCTCAACACGAGTGCAAGCAATCAAAGTAACACAAAATCCATCTGCTTTCCAATATTAGCACATACTCTGATAAACAACTCAACTTCCGCTGTCTTAAATTTTCTCTAGAACCTGCAGTGTGCAATCACCCCTGAGTGCAGCCTTTCTCCTTTGTGCTCACAGAGAGGCCAATTAGGCTTCAGTTCCCCTCTGGTCTCTGACAAAGACAGACCTAGGAACTGTTTTGTGTCATAATCGTCCAAGTCAGGGATCTGGCTACTGAACTCCATTCACTCATATGTTCTTCAGGAAATACTTCCCAGCCCCCTGCATGAGCTGGTAAGTGTTCTAGGCTCTAGGAATACAGTAATGAATGAGGACTGTGTCCTAGGCAAAACAGGAAAGAAGGTTATGCATCAGAAAATTATGTAAATAATAATATGATGGCATTGTGAAAGGTGACTTAGAGAACTGCAGGGCACTTCCAGAGACCACCAGAGTCCTCTGCTTCAGGGAGGTCATGCAGGTTGTCCTACAGAGATGACATTGATTCTGAGAGTGAAGACCAGGGCCTGCCTTGGAGTGTGGTGTGCCCCCTTGTCTGAGTACATAAGGAGAAATTCTAAACAAAAGTAGTGACTCTAGAGAGGCTGATTCTTTTTTTTTTTTTTAACCAGGGATCGAACTCAGGACCTCACACTTGCCAGGCAGGCGCTGTGCCGCTGAGCTACATCCCTGGCCCAAGACAGGCTGATTCTTGATTTGAGAAATAGGCTTGGATCAAAACACCATAGTGAGAAAGAGGAAAAGATATCCAATGAGGATTGGACCCATATTGTGGGAGCTCATATGCGTAGGTACGTTGTATTTGCATAAGAGCAGGTTTTATTGTGTGACTTTCATTGTGATAATTTTTCTCCTTTATTTTAATTCTACCAACAATGATTCCTCATTTCCCCATTTTAATTAGTGAAGAAACTAAATTTCATGGAGACTGTGTTTTTAATCCAAAGTTGAAAGCAGAATATAGAAGCCCAGCTACATCAACCTTGGGCCCAGAAATCTCTAAACCTTGTGCCCTGGTGGGTCTGCTGAATTTCAAAAATTCAAAGTAAGTCGATGGCTTGTTAGTTTGATAATAACTACTTTTAAAATGTCAAAGGCCCTTTGCCCAAAGGTCCCACAGGTGACTGGCTTTCAGTCAGCCAGTGTGTTTCCTTGTTCATTTCATGGAAGTAGAGTTGCTGTCTGAATGATTCACTGAAGTGCGCTCATTTCAGACACTGCTTAAGGGTCCCGGAGGAGGAAATATGTTTCTGTTACATAAAGAATAATGCAGTGACGTCATAAAAGGTGTCTTGGAGAAATGCAGAGACTCTCCACCGACTTCCCTAAGGTGTTCGTGTTGTGGTTCTTTGCCTGCACTTTGCAGACAACCATCGGGAACTTTTAAATAGAATTCGTGGTGTACGTAGTTACCTACTAATATCTGCTGGGTGTGTTTCACGCATCCACCTTCTTGTCATCTCTTTGTCAGTGCCACTCTTCCAGCTCAGCCTGTCATTGTCACTTGTCTGGCTAATGTATGACCCTCATTTCTCACTCCACCTCTAGTCTAGCCCATTCTCATTCAGCAACCACAATGGAGCCAGAACAAATAAAACCATAGGTCTTTGTAACTGTGGTGATTTACCATGAACTACAGGGTCAAGTCTAAGACCCCTCCTGCAGAATGTAAAGCCTTCACCAGTAGCCTTATGCCAGTCTGCCTTTCTAGCTCTGCCTCTGCCTACTATTTCCCTCCACTTTGGACCCTTTCCTGCCCACCTCCAAATTGTGCAAGGTAGGATTTAGTTGTTATGCTTTTACTTACTTTGGACGCCTCACAGTTTTAACTGACATGTAAAAATTACACATATTTATGAGGTATCATGATATTGTGATGCATGTATACATTATATAATGTTCAAATCAGGGTAAGCATGCCTACCTTCTGATTACCTCTTGGCATTAAAATTATTCAAAGTACTTTCTTATGGCTTTGCTGAAGAATACAGTGCATTGTTATCTGTAGTCACCCTGATGTGCAATGGAACATGAAAATTTATTTCTCCTAACTATAATTTAATACCCATCGACCTGTCCTTCCCCATCCATCCCTTCCCTACCCCACCAGCCTCTGCTCACCACCATTCTACTCGCAGCTTCTACTGATTCCACATATGTGAGGAAATCAGCTTTTGATTCTACGTATGTGTGAGCTTGTGTGATATTTGTCTCTCTGCCCGGTTGATTTTACTTAACATGATATCCTCCTGTTGCATTCCTGTTGTTACAAATGATGGTATTTCATGCTGATTTGGGCCAAATCAGATTCCACTATGTGTGTAACTCATTTCTTCATCGCTTGGTGGACATTTATGTTGATTCCATTTCTT